CTTTGCCGAACAAGGAGCTAAAGCCCTACTACAACAAGCAGGGCGCGGAAGCAAGAGAAGGCAGGGCCAACGCAGTAATTTATCAACTACAAAGAGGTTAAAACTGTGTTCTCATATAACAGTCCCAAGACATACCAAATGGATTACGGAAGATCAAAGCAGCCACGATGATGAAAGCAGCTATGATGAAGAATCTGACAGCGAAACCCTTGAAACAAGTGACGATATATATTAGAAACATAATTTTGTAAAACGTTTTGAAGAAATAAATTTAAAAACTGAAATATTGTGTAAATTTTTGCCGGCAAAGCCCGCTCTTTCCACCCGCGCGATCCGCCCGCCTGATTAGTGTACAAATATGTTGTACGTTAATATATGCATGCACCCGCAAAGCCATGCGCCTGATTTTAAGGTATACACCTGCGTTAAAAAATAATCCCTATCTATCCATCGAGATACACTTAGTTATGCAAATTCGTATTACCTTAATCCCCTTAATTACCTACACGCCTCCTAATGACTTAGCAACGCATAACAACGCAACATTTGCAAAGTATAAAACATGTTTATTGATACAAATAACAGACGATAGTGTCAAAAAATATTACAACTAAAACTATTTGTTAAACTGTTCTATAAGTTTTTTCTCCATGAGTTCTTGATAAGCTTTCTTATGATCTGCCTCAAAACTTCTAAATCGTTCACCCGTCGCCTTCACATAATACATGTAACTCCGTGGGTAAGAGAAAAACGCTTCAGCTACGGACTCGAGTGGGTCTTCTAATTTCCAATGAAACAAATAGTTCAGTATACATTGTAGTTCGTGGTTCTCAGTGTTCTGATGTAGTTCCATCAATGAATCGACAAACGTAGAATCTGGATCTTTTTCCAGTTGCTGTAAATGTTCGAGTACATCTCTATCAACCGCCAGTTTTAGTACCCTCATTGCCTCAGCGAATTCATTCCAAACCATACGCTTACCATTCACTCGTTCGATCGCTTGTAAACCATACATTTGCCATCGTTCGTTTTCGTTCATCATGAGGCAGTCATGTTGTCTTTGACTAGGATGACTGACTTGACAACCATTACAGGATTCCACACAAAGTCTTTCAACTTCTTGTGCGACTGCATTCGCAAATATTCCTTCCAATAAATTGTAAGATGTGGTTTTACCGTGTAGACACGCCATGACTGATGTGGAACAAATATAGACGATGCTTGTTACAGGACACTTGTCGATTTTTTATACAAACACTCATTAAATCAAACAACCAATCATAGTAAGCCAACATTAATCCCTCCATTGTACCACACACGTGGAGAGACGCTAAAAAATGCGTAGTCAGCAAGTTTCGCCGATCGCGCTTAAACCTGCCCGCGTGACGTCATTGCATATAATTATGACGTATGTTAATGAGTGACGTCACTACGCACCCTCATTTGTGCGGCCCCCCCTTAATTACCTGCATATATAATGTGCGGCCCCCTTGCATAGTAATTACCTGCATATATAATGATGCGGCCCCCTTGCGGCCCCCTGCGGCCCCCTAAAAATCCGGCCCGATCGGCCCCTATATTACTACTGACATGGTTTTAACGTAAGGTGTGAAATCTGCTGGATTTCCCGGCTTAGGGTAGATTTTTGCGCTTAAACGGATTTTTTCTAAAAATGGCAAATATTGGACTGCCTTAATTAAAATTAAATCATTTTCTTTTTATTTATTGCAAAATTTTCACCGAAAAAGACAGAGGATCCCACTACTCCAACTGCAAGTACATTCACACTTTTTTCAAGAATATTACATTTTTATTCTTTTAAATATTTTTTATAATTATAGCAAAATATTCACCGAAAAATACAAAGCGTTTCCCCAACTGCAACTATACAAGTCAGTTCACAGATTTTTTTGAGAATATTACATTTTTATATGCTTTTAAATTGTCTTTATAATTATATATTCCTTCAGGTTTTTCCTTCCTTCACGAATATTAAAAATATTTACATGTTCACAAATGTCCTGTCTTTATATAATTAAAACTAGGCCTATATTTGAAAATATTAATTTAAACAAGAGGTTATACATCGAACGGCAAATTTTCAAAGAACGCTATTAGGCTATATAAGCAAAACAAAGCTGTCGAGGAAAAGTATGTTGGAATAAATTAGTCGTCGGTATCGATGCTTAATTGACAAACATGCATGTTGTCGATCGCGATTTTCCATTTTAATTGGTCGTATTATGAAAAGGCAATATTTCTTACAATTTCTAATAATAAAGATTCTATATCTCTTGAAGTTTCAAATTTCGTGTTAATTATTGTATGCAAAGAGGATTATTTAAATAAACAAATAATAATATTAAATGCTTTAATTTCCCCGCTAACCACTTCATTTATGTCATTCTATACAAAGTGTTACAGAGGCATCTCGAGTATTGGAAATTGAATTTATTTCAGTCAGCGTACTGATGTACGAATAAGTCTTTGTGTGTGCTGCAACAAGTCAATACTGACTGTTGATAGCAGGGTATTGATCATAATTATTATATACTAAAACGAACAGCACGTTTAACCAAAAACCAAGGGACAAATACATATAACACATGCTTAAAAGAACATGGCGAACGTAATTTATCGTAAGCCTTGTAAACACTGGATTCTACGTTTTGCTCCTATCGCTCTGAGTTTTTGGTTCGTCATATTTTTGAATTTGCAGTCATTTGGAGAAGGGCTCGATTTTTGCTTCGACGAATCCAAAAGAGGTGGGTTTTATTGACAACATTAAATTTACCAAAATTTATTAAAACTCGTAAGTCATCTTTAACATAAGTTTAATTTTTAAACATGAAATTTATTGTAGCACCAATTGACGCATGCCGAATGGCTGTATTAACGGCTTATTGACCGAGCGTGAGGTCTGTACTGTGAAATATCAAACCGAGGTATTTTAGTATGGACCGAGCAACGGTCTGATATTTCACAGTACAGACCGGACAAGCGAGGTCAATAATCGGTTTATTATATGGCTGAACTGAGTCTGTGAGCATATGCTTTTCGCGCGAATTAAGTCGGCTATCGTCAGTTTCACTGGGTAGCAATATACGGTAGGCATGCGCATGCTCAATAAAAAACAATTTGGTTGTCTGAAATTTTTATCTGTAAATTTTAATGACACAAAACGGACCGCTTGTCAGAATAGAGAATTTTGAAAAGCCATATAATAATTAACAATTATTGAATGAGGTTGAGCACGATGTGAAGAATTATCAAGCCCGAAGTTTGCCGTTATCAACCGAAGCCGAAGGCTGAGGTTGATAATTGCAAACTGAGGGCTTGATAATTCTTCATATTGTGCGAAAACCGAATTCAATAATTGTTTTATTATTTATTTAAAAAATTCAAAACAAACATTTGCATTTTATTTGTATTAAGAAAAAAACAATTCCTTAGTCCTTCGGCAGCCGTCGTTGCGTCATATCAATGGCGTCAGCGAGTCAATATATTCTCGTCGTCATAGTAATATGGCGCAAAAGCGTCCAAAATTTTTTCATATTGACTCTTTGACATCATTTTGCTAATATGAATGTGAAAAATCCGTATTTGGTTAAATACTAATACTAAATATCGCATCTTTTAACATAGTGGAATGGGTAAGATCCAAGGAATGCGCTACCTGGTAGTATATTTAAAAGATATTAATTTTGCCCTGCGAGAAATTAAGAACATTAAAGGGATACGGTAATATATTTTTTATTATTTCATTTTAAAGAGCTTTTAAAATTGTATGTTAATCTCCTTTACCGATTTTGCGTAACTTTATTATTTCTTGGAATATTTTGACTTAAAACAATTTGCTGTCCGCCATCTTGGATTAATTTTTATGTCATTATCGGTGATTTTAGTGACGTCAAAAGCAGGGTTAGCCATATCAAACGATATACATCTAAATGATCAAATAACATTGTGTCTTGCTTGAAAAGCCGTCAGACAGTTTTTTATTTCAAATAGTCAATGAAGTATATGATTTTGGGCTCATAATAACCAATTGCTCTATGGATAAAATTCTTGCGTGACCCTGCTTATGATGTCACATGCATATCCGCCAAAATCCAAGATGGCAGAAAGCTCGCTGATTTGTGATTTTTTCTGTTCAAATATGTCAAGAAATAATAAAGTTACGCAAAATCGGTAAAAGAGATTTACATATAATTTTAAAAGGTCTTCCAAATGAAAAAATAAAAAATATATTGCCGTGTCCCTTGAATTAAATTAAAGAGCAGGGACCCTTGTATAAAAGACCTAACTACATTTTAACTAACCGTTTATAGCAGTTAATTAATTGTTTATTCTAAAATACTTAGTTAACTTTTTGAAACTTTTTGCACTAACTATATTTATTTTAATTAACTTGATGTTTGTGATATTACTCTAAAGCCTCGTTTACACTACGCTCAATTTTTGGTACGGCATGGATAAAATTCATTTGGTACCCGTACCACTTTTTTGGTTCTTGGACTACCTATTTAGGTAGTCCAAGAACCAAAAAATGGTACGGTACCAAAAATTCAGCGTAGCGTAAACGGGGCTTAGCTAAATAGGTAGTCCAAGAGCTAAAAAAGTGGTACGGGTACCAATTTTATCAGTGCCGTACCAAAAATTGAGCGTAGTGTAAAAGCGGGCTTGAGTGTATATCCACACCGGGCAAGCTTGAAAAAATGCCTGGCTGGCCACGGTGGTAATCGAACCTACGACCTTTGGAACATTAGCCCAATGCTCTGCCAACTGAGCTCGACGCGGTCAGATCGGTTCGAGTGTATGATATTTCGGAACTGAATCTAGTACCTTCGGGTCAGGGGTCAGCATTTAAATTTCCAATACAGTTTCTGAGACGTAATTCAAGAGGTACCTGTAACTTAGGCCTATCATTGCATGTGAACTATACAGTTGCTGTTATTCTGTGCGATTAGCGAATATTATTGGAAATAGGGCTTCCATATTCGTTGAAATCAGCAAATAAACAGCTCATGCACACATTTCGCCACTCGGTAAGTTTACAGAGCAGATTTTATACTTTGGCACAGATCTTTGTCTTTGATGTGAAAATTTATTCTTCTAGTTTAAGGTTATTTAAAAGTGATCCTGTTGTAAGTCTTCTACCAGCAATCCATCGACAATATTTCATTTTAGCGTTGTCTTTGCCGTTCCGTTGGCTTTGCGTTAGTTGGGCGCTTAAGTATGTAGGACGGCAACACGACGACGACGGCAACCAATACAATGAGTCAATTAAAAGAAAGAAATAATTCGAGTCCCAGGGGAGTTTCAGAGGTAGTTGTCGCTCTGTTTACAACGGCAAATCAAACATTTTCACGTCGTTTATACAGGGTGTATCAAAAAAAAGGAGACCTTTAGAAATCAAGCATATTGTTAAAATTTGAATGCCTTTTCAATTGCACATATGCAGAACCGTATTGCACATATTGCATATATTAGAAAAAGGAGACCTTTAGAATTTGAAATAACGTTTAAACAACAGATTGTCTGCTCCTGGGAACAATCTGCCATGTGCTTAGCAAAGTGCTCCAGGATTCAAATTATAACAATGGTTGATTTCTAAAGGTCTCCTTTTCCACAGTTTAGCATATGTGTAATTGAAATGGCATTCAAATTTTAACAATATGCTTCATTTCTAAAGGTCTCCTTTTTTTTGATACACCCTGTACAGGGCGTATAAAAAAAACTGAACCCTTTCAAATTCAAATTAGCTATAACGTATTGTAGTAATTTGACAGCTCTAATTGCTTTGAAATAATGGTTGGGTAAGAACACAAGGTCTTGTACTCATGGGACAAAACTCTTAAAAACTTTTAAATTTTCTAATTTTTATTTCTTCGAGTTTCGTCCCATGAGTGCAAGACCTTGTGTTCTTACTCAACCATTAATTCAAAGCAATTAGAGCTGTCAAATTAATACAATACGTTATAGCTAATTTGAATTTGGAAGCTAGGGTTCAGTTTTTTTTATACACACTGTACAACGCCTGCATTTCAAGCCGTACCGAGCGCAACTTAAAATTTTGTTCAGTAGAACTCTTCCCAAACATAAAGCCAATGTTTTCAACTTCTTATACTGTGTTAAATTCATAAGAATTATAATATACGACAAGTTTTCTTTACTATCATCGCAGAAGCGTTGCCGTCCTGCATGTTTAAGCTCGCTAGTGTTGTTTTAAATACCTTTATTATTAGCATGACAAAATTTCTGGATGCTGATTGGTTGAGAGGAGTACAATTATTTCATTACTTGTACTGCAGTACAATTAATGATTTTCCCAAAACAAACAAAAAGGCGGAAAGGTATTTTAAACACAGTTAAAAATACGAACAAAAGCACGAAATTTTGTTTTAACAAAAGAACTAAATGAAAATACGGACAAAGCACCAAATTTTGGTTGAAAGTCTGGCAGGACTGGGCTTTGGCGAGAGAATATATGATGTTAACATTGAGAAGTATCCAGATTTGTCATGCTATTAATAAACAAGTAAGCTGCGGCTCGTCCAATTTTGGCAAAATTTCCAAACATCACTCGTACTATTAATCCCTAATTGTACTCGCCATCGCATGATTACCTATACTTCGCGTTAATAGAGTTATTCTTCAGGCCAGTGACATAGTCAAAAGACTTAGCATAGCAAGACTTAGCTTGTGATTTTATAGAAATATCTCTAGAACTGAGGATTTTAGAAAACGTTATCTATACCTTCTCAAAGTTGTAGACAAAATATGTTGTTTACAGTACGTCCAACATGCATAATATTACATAACTCAAAATGATTCGAGCAAAACGGTCTTTTGTTAAAAGGAAGACTGATCATGATTAATAGAAATTGGTCCTTTTGAGTGACATAACCGTGTGTCATCATCGATCCGTGTCGTTGAACAATGAAAATATTTGTTGTGAAATTAGTGAAGATAAAATTGCAGTTTGTGCGAAAACTGCAGGTCTAAGGAGCGGGAACTTTTTTTATTTGAACTCAGCGTGTTCGAAAGTGTTAGTTCCCGTAAAAATATTTCAGTTCCAAGACATGCGAAATGAAAGTGAACGATATCTGGACGCAGCAAACGGCCTAAATGCAATTTAGTAATCATGATGTTACTCTGAGTGTATTTTATACAACTGGGCCCTGGTGAAATTAAGAACAGGTCAAAATTTTGTGGTCTTTATTTTGATAAGTGTGGTTTCATGCTGGCACTGGCGCTACTTTAAATTTTCTGTTTTCATGAAGTGAGGTATTGCATGCCATATATATACTTTCTTACATTTAACCTGCAAATTTGGCGTACTTTTAACTCTGATCTACGCTTTCAGACATCTTTGGTATTTACCGAGCTTTAATGTCAATTTTAAATTTACTCAAAAACGGCAACATACACGATTTGTAATTCGTGGCAAGAATATTTTGAATGGATATAGAAATGCTATAGAAAACGGATGAGCAACGATTGTGATAAGGGATTGGTCATAAAGTAACTGCTAGGTGGGCTGGAGGAACTCACACATTTGGCCAATAAGTTTGGTGCCCCATCTTATAGGATGTAGATAAAAATTTCAAGGCCCATCTTATCTTACCAAATTTATTTCATGACCCACCCACCCACCCATTTTAAATTGGGAAAATACACTTTTATAATAAAAAAAAACTTGCAGGTATGAACATTGTAAATATACACCGGTACTGTATTGACATACATAATTCCGCAAAACTTGACCAACACATTCATCACCAATTACGATACTGAGCTGTTCTCCATTTGGTTGCATGTATTTGCTGTGATTCGACCACTTTTTGTTGTTGTATAAAACAAAGTGCTGACTTCAATAGCATCATTTGCATTTGATAATTTGGATAGTTTTGTTTACTTTTATTATTAATATCTTTATATAATATACAGGGTGTATCAAAAAAAGCGCAATCCTCGACTGAAATGTAAATTGCTAAACAAATAATAGACGAAAACGTTAAAGTTTACATTCATTTTAAAGCGTAGCCAATCAGCTTTCTAACAGTGGGTTGTTTCTTAAATTTGACTCATTGGTTCGCGGGTAATAATACTTTACGTTATTGCGATTGGAGATTAAAAAAATTGAGATGGAATAACAAATCGTTCTCATGAAAATAACTGATTTTTTCATTAAAACAAAAAATGTTGCATTTTATTAAATGGATCGTAACAATAAGTATAATTACGGCTTTTCTTCCACTATTTTTAACTCAGTTTGAAACTTCAAATGCGATATAACTTTGGCTTGGACCATCTAAGCTGACTGACATCAACTTGCTATAATTTCTGTTTACATGACATCGCAATTCGATGACACTCTGCCTCTGGCTCAGACACCAGAATGTTTTGACCATTTTTAGCATTCGTTTAGGATTTTCAAACAACCTGGTCTCTTTTAAAATACTTTTAATTTGTTCTTACGTGATTCTCCAGATGTAGTGACGACAACATTAAAGTTTAAAGAAGAAAATTCTAACATTTAAACCGACTAAACAATAACATAGTAAACTTGCATAATTAAACAGCAACTAAAAATTATAGGTTTTACTAAATCTTTTCCTGTGCAATTATTACTAGCATTGGAGACAAGGACAATAGTTTGTTTGAAAGAGAAAAGAACACGCTTTGAAGTAAGCCTAAAAGCGTTTAACTAGAAATAGTATTTCGAAAGTTATTAAGCAGAAAAGATGAATTGCGTTTATTTTGATACACCCTGTATAATTAACATAGGTTTTTGTTTGCTGGCCCAACCGTGGACATACAAAAAAATTGGCGGCCCATCGAAACTGCCCAAAGATTTTCCATGGTCGATTCCAAATCACTCCAGTCCACCCTAGCAGTCACTTTATGACCGGTCCCTAACGACAGCGAAAATCACCAATACTATGCCTATACTCCTGAAAATATACCAACACGAGAAAGCGGGCACCATTTTGCCCGTGACGAGCTCAAAACACTGATTTGACACGATCCCGGTGTATGCTGGGTGGGATGGAATGAGGAATGATTTTGACGTATTGAAATAAATCACTAGGATTAAAGGAAAGTTCAAAGTCGATCAAAGGTAATGAAATATTGAAGAAAAAATCTCCTAGTTCAAGAAGATTATAAATGTTTGTTTGCAATTGTACTGTGATCTATCACTAGAAAAATGCATGCAATTTTGCTGAACCGTGAACCGCGATTCATTATTTCAGTACGTCAAATTTATTCTGCCTCTCGTCTTGCACTAGCAAAGCGGGATCGTATATATTATCGGTCGATAAGATAATTTGGTCGTCAGTATTGACACTAAGGTTGCTCAATACAGTTTTTAAAAAATGGAAAATTCACGATTTAGATATGTATATTTTTGGACAATTATTACATGTTGATGAACAAAAAGTACCTTATTTATATAAAACAGCATCTAAAGAGTTTGAATTTTTGCACAAAAGTTACGCAACTGCCGTTGCTATGGCAACAATGACGTTTCAAGATGGCGGATATTTTGGCTTTAAGGTAATTTAACTCGTAAATGACATCCGTGACCTCCAAATTTTATTTTAAAAAATGATTTCTCTTAGTATAAAAAATTATTTTGACAATAAAAAAAAATTCTGCGGAGCCAAAAAAAATTATTATGAATAATTATCTTTACGTAATTTAAAAAATTTCGGCTCCTCAGAAGTTTTTTAAAATTAATAATTGATTATACTAAGAGAAATCATTTCTTAAAATAAAATTTGGGGGTCATCGA